CGGCGACCTACTTACCACTGGCTATCGTGCAGGTCACGGGTTCAACTCCAGGGAACTGTGCAGATACTGTACACAGGTAAGCTGAGGTCAAGGGATCGACCCCTGGGATCTGCATCGGCTACTGCCAAAGGTGAAAACTGTTTCACTTTAAAAGAATGCTTATTAATCCAAAATACTTCTTCTCCCCAACTCCCCAACATAGCCCGCACCCCACACAAACACCACACAACCCGAATCCCCTCAACCATACCGACTGTCCAAGCCTAATGCAAAGACAGCCAAGCAAAGAAAACCTTAGGCATCACAAGAGCTAGGAATCAAGGCGGCAACGTGCTCAACTGAGTTAGGTCCGAGCTTCAACTGCAACAGAGACCAGAGGGGAGCAATAGGTAAGGCCAAAAAGGGTGGGGGAATAGCCCCCTCCTAGGAAAGATAAATTAGTAAACCTAGTACATCAGACAAAAAGGATAGCCTAGGGTTTAAGCTTTAAGAGAAGGCAAGGCGCAGAAATAGCTAGGCGGTTAGGGTATAGAGAACCTGACAACCCAAGAGCTGGGGAAGAAGCTTCAGCGTAATTTAGTTCTTCACAGGAATCCAACAACCTTACCCCGAGAAGATCAGGCTAGGTTTGCGAACCCCAAGGCAGGTTAGTAGTGCAACCCCAAATAGCGTAGGGTTCAGCCCGACAACAAAGATAGAAACACAAACAAAAGTGGAGAGCGAGAGTCAGCGGTTGGGGTTTAGCGCCTAAGGCATAGGCCTTGGAAGATATCCACAACTCCAAACTTACGGAAAGCTCAAAGCATTATAATTGCCAGATCCCCTAGGGTTTTAACCATTTAGCAAAACTGACAGTTAATTAGTCTGGCCAGCAACTCCGACACTTAAATCTAATCCGGCAGCCGAGTAGCTGAGAGGAGTAAGCTAGTCAAGACCTTCACAGATATGCCACAAATCACAAACATAAGTAATAGGAGCTAGCCTACCTACAGTTGTCAGGATCTAAGTCAAGCAGGCTAACTTAGGCAAAGCTAAGGGGCGGTACATCCTTCCAAAAGGGCCTCCCATCCATAATGAGGAGGAGCGTGTGTGTACCCTTATTGTATTCATCATTGACTTGTCGCGGGAATAGGAACCGGACTGTTGCTCCCCAGAATGGTAGGAGCCAGAATCGGGATTTTTTTTAAAGGAAAAAAAGAAAGAAAAAAATGCAAGGAATATGAGCAAGAGCAATAGACAAAAAACCAAGTCGCAAAATCACACACATGTCTAGATGGTCATGTACCAAGCAGAGAGCTCAAATGCACCAAGATTCCATCCAAATAAGAGCAAAGCAGTGAGCTCTTGTGCCAATGTTATCACCCTCGGCCCCACCAACACAATATCCAATGTCGCTCGTCTCTGTTTGGCGCCTAGCGCCCAGCCTACTCTACTGAGCCTATCTAGCCTATCTATATTCATGCAACAGGATCACTCCGACGTTGAAGACCAAAGAATATGACGTCAACACCAATGCCGACCTTCCACATACACCAGGTACGTTCTCTCTCCTCCCCTCATCAGACCTTGACCACCCACTCATGCACCTCCTACCCGAAGACCACCTTCGCCCATCACCCGCATGCACCCCTGCAGCCCGGCTATGGTTGTTGTGCGCCTGCTGCCCTGCAGCGCCCTCCTCACCTCATAGCGCCCACGTGCGCCCCAACCAGCAACACACATGCATATGCTTGCGCAGCAACGCAGCAGCGTGTCCACATTGCCTGCCTAGGCCAGAATGCCAGCCTCTGGCCAACGACCTTCCTATATGGAATTCGCGGCCCTGTTTGGCTGCGTGGGCCTGGCTGAGGAAGCTGCCAGTAGCTTCCGGTAGGGCCCCAATGTTTGCATCCAGGCCCTATCCGACAGTTGGGGGTTTGGGCCCTTTCTGGTTGGGCACGCCCAAGCAGCCTCCAGGCTCCAAGTGTTTGCCGTCTTCTCATTGACTTCCTAGCCCCTGTGACAACAATGCTGCTTTTTGATTCGCCCGCGGCCACTTCGTGATGTGGCGGCCTCACACTGTGTGCTCAGGGCGCAACCACCCGGCCCTGGGCTCAACTGCTTGGTGCAGCTGCTGTTTCTGGAAGGAGTCCAAGGAGAGGCTCACGTTGCACTTCAACCAACTGCCGTGCTGCAACTGTCTGATACCCGTAGTGGAAAATGCTGAGATAAGGGCCTCTCGTGGGTATTCAAGCCGGCCTTCACTTAGGGCGGGCACGATGTTGCTGGGGGCCACAACCCATATCATGTGCATGTCGGCTAGGGCCCCGCGAGGGCACATTCCTCACAAAAACATGCTGCTCAACTAGTAATTTTGATGAGCTGCTTCCTGCCTTAGGCCTATCAGGTCTACCACCAGGAAAAGTCCAGATCCCCTTGTCTGAGAAGGGCTAAACTACACTTGGCCAACAGAGATCCTACCTACAAGTCTCAGGTTCAAATCTTCAAAAGCAACACGAACACAACATGTTGCTCAGCCATTAATTTCGACAAGCTGCTTCCTGCCTTAAACCTACCAGGTCAGCTACTACCAGAAGTCCACACCCAATCATCTTAAAAGAGATCCTACCGACAAGTCTCAGGTTCGAAATTCCGCAGCTTCAAAACTGACAAGAACGCAACATACTTGTACTGCTTCCCCAACTGGCAACAACACCACAACTTCCAGTTTAGGAATTGTTGGAGTCCTAGCCGCAGAGGTCCAAGGCCGACCGAAACACTGGCTGGTCTACCTATATCAGCCATGGCCATTTCTAGCTTGGACGAACAGACCATCAGAGGCTACTTCATTCTCCTTCCCTTGGTCATCTTGTACGACACTTGCTTGGGTGTAGTAATATGCAAGTCAAGTACGGCATGACGTAGGGCTCTTGGGTAACTATCAAGCCAGGCTCTTGTTGCATGCCTATCTCTCTCAGACAGGCATGGCGCAGATCCAAGGAGTCACCAAAGTACGAGAAACAACAGTGTGAGCAGCAGAAGACTGAAAACACACAAATGTGAGTCATCTGAGTCTGGACATGAGCCAGACATACATCAGCACACTGGGAATGGGCAAGGCGGACTCGTAGACAGAAGAAAGATGACACCTTGCCTTACATGCATAGCCAAATAACCCACGGACGAAGGAGGTCGGCAACAAGACGAGAGTGGAACAGTTGAAGTAGAAGAAGCGACTGCAACTCAATGTGTCTGCCAAATGTAACTCGTCTCTTAAGATAGCCTCAGTCCAAATGTTGTGTCCAAGACCGGGCACCAAGTCTCTGATATCTCTGTTTCTCGCTGATAGAAGAGGAAGGATGGATATGGAGGGCTGAGCAAGATGAAGAAACAAGAAGAAGAATCTCTCTCTCCATACATACATCCTTCTATCCGCCCGTATGTCTGAGTCCGTCCATCCGCCTATCCACCCGTCCACCCGTCCACGCGTCCACCCATCCCTCCCTCCCTCACTCCCTCTGTTTGTTTGTATGTCTGTCCGTCCATCCGTCTGTCCGTCTGTCCGTCCATCCATCCATCTTTGCCGTCCTGCCTGTCGTCTTGCCTGCCTACATACGTACGTACCTACCTGCCTACCCACCTACCTACCAATATATACCAGATACTGACCAGCGCAAGATGAAGTTGTTAGCTGTCCATGCTGCAGGTGGAAGGGCTGCATGCGGCCAATGATGAAAAGCCAGCAATGGTATTCCAGGTGAGTCCTCTCCAACCCAGCCCTCTGCCGATCTCCTGCTCCGCTAATTCTCCAAACCTTCAAGTGTTATTCCTAGCACTACTCTACGAGCTTAAGCTCAAAGTCAAACTGGTCTATTTCAGCTGCCCACCTAGTTAGCTTGGGCGTCATCTTGGCTTGGGTCTTCAACCATCTCAGAATTTCATGATCTAAGTAGATTTTGAAGTGCCTCCCACGCAGGTAATGTCTCCAATGGTCTAAGGCCCGCCTGAGAGAGTAGAGTTCTCTTTCATAAGTTGAGGCCGCTACTTTTTCTGAAGGCAGCCTAGATGACATGAGCTCCATGGGTCGATAGCCATCGTCGTCGTCTTATTGTAACACAACGCCTATGTCGTATTGGCTTGCGTCTATCGTGACGACGAATGGCAATGAAGAATCGACTACTTTGGGATTGAGCAAAATGTCTACTGCCCCCTTAGGTGTTCTACTGCCAAGCTCTATCTCTATGCGGTGCTGACAGACATTTTGCTCAATACCAAGGATTTCCCAAGTCCTTCCTTCAAGCCGTCCAAGGTGCCATGCACCCCTTTAGGGAGGTGATCGACTCAAACTAGGGCGGCTAGACGGGGGACCTTGACCCCTTCCTCCCGCTTGGCGGTCCTTGTTGCCGCCAACCCCTTGGCCGCCTTGTCCTCGACCACTTGAGGCCGGGCCACTATTGCCTCGACCTCGTCCTCCTCTTTGCGACCTCCCTCCGACGACGACAGCAAGGTAAGAACTCCCCTTCTCTGCACTACTGCCTTCTTCTTCTAATCCCCACTCTATGTCGGTGTAGGAGACCTCTTCTGCACCACCTCCCTCCATTGTCAGAATAAGATTGTCTTTGGCCTTGACCTGGCCAGAGATGGTACGACCTTTCCACTTCTTGCCCTTTGTTAAGTCCTTGTGCCAAAAAGTGGTAACAGGCATAACTTGAGCAACGGAAGCAACATCTCTACCGAGGACATCATAAGTCATCCCAGACTGATGTTTCTTATCAAAGTAGTGCCCTCGCAATTGCTCGGGCAGTGCGTTGTAAAAGAGTTGGACGAGTTGTGCTTCGATGACTCCATGTCTGGGCACAGCGATAAGTTCATCCATAGGGGCATGCTACGAAGTGTTCTCGCAGTGTAGCAAGAAAATCACCAAAGGTGGGTGATGGCTGAATATTGGACCCTGTCGTTCTCGCAGTGGGCGGGCGTGCGAGCGACCTTGCAAAGCTGGTCTCTCAAAGCCTGAAAGGCTATCAAGACATGGTCCTCAGGAGCTACATCCTGCAGGTACACGTAGGACTTGACGTCAGCTTCCCAGTTATCAAAGTCTTCCCCTTTCTTCCCACTGTAGGGCTCAACGAAACGGGCTTCGACTCGCAGGGTTGAGCTTCTTCTTCTTTGGCGACTACTAATTTGGCACATTCTATCGCTCTGGTACAAAACTTTTATGTCCTCCCAATTGCGTTTCACATCTTGTTGACAATACAAATCATCATATCCTCGGAATCGGACTCGTACGGATTCTACCACTATGTCATGCCCACGGGTATGCTCAAGATGTTCCTGTAGCGCGGTTAGGATAGACCTTACACTACGGGATAGGGTGTCAATATTTTTCCCCAACTCAGTTTCCTCTCCTATCTTCCACAACCGTGTTTCTGCCACCTTCAATTCCCTCTCCATCTTGTCTGCCATCTCCAAGCGCCTCATCGTCTCTTGTGCGAGGTGCGGCTTCCACTCTAGCTGTTTTTCATGTTGCCTTGCTTGTCGACGCAAGGGATATCTTTCTCCTTCCAACTCTCTTTTGGCCGCTTCCCCTTCATCCTGGGGAACCATCAATTCTGCTTCCTTATCTTCCCAGGCATAATTTCACCACCCATTCTTTCACAGCCCATTCCACCTCTTCTGGTGGGGCTATGTTGGAACTTGTCTCTCCTCTCTCCTCCTTCCTTTCCTCTGCAGTTCTCTTTCTGTCCTCCTCTCCAACGGGGTCTCTTCTTCTTCGACTTCTTCCTCTTCTTCGTCTTCTTTGGCCAGTTCGAGGGGCCAACTTGGCCTCCTGTTCTTTCTTCCACATCTCCATTTCTTCCTCCATCTTCCTCTTTCTAGTCAACTCTTCTTCCCGCACAGCCAACTTCTTCACCTGCCTTTCTAATTCCCTCTTCTCCTTTTTCTCTCCCCTTCCGCGAAGAATTGCGACAGCCCTGTCCTCTTGTTCCTTACTATACGCGGCTGTATCAGCTCCGGACCTGGTAGTCACCATGTTGGAAGGGGGCACAATCACAACGGATTTCGCTCCTCAACACGACCTACCAGCTAAGCCTGACTTTCTAGGGGACTACAGAGGTCCTCTCCTCCACCTTAGCCAGGTTACCACCGGCGTCGGATGCTTTCACAACCACAATCCAATCTCTTTACAACCGTCGGATGCCACACGTGGTTAAACCACCACTACCCCGCTGGCCTAAAATGAACTTTCTTGGCCTTACAGACCGGGTTCTTAGGGGGTGCGATGACCGGTAGGCTCAGGCGGGTCCGAGCCAAGAATTTTCAAGCGCGAACTTTGGCGATATTTCGCGCTAAAAAAAATTGGCAAAAAAAAACTAAAAAATTGATATCCTGTAGATTAGGCCGTTGCGAGGCACAAGGCCTCGATAAGCCCTATTGGGCCCCTATTTGCAACAACTATCGGCCGCCCTAAGTGAAGGCAGGCTCCACAGACGACAAGAGGCCTATTTTGGACTACTTCGCAACCGGGGGAAAATTCAGACACTTGCGCAGCGCTAGTTGGTTGATAGCGCCCAAGCCCTGGCCTCCTTTATCAAACGCATCTGAGTCAGGCCCTGGGCGAGATACGCAGCATGGACCCAACTCAGGCTGCGGGCAGTTGGGCACGGGTAACTGTCACAGGCCTTGGGCCTGATCCGTTTGGT